ACATTCATTTAGAGAAGATTAGATATACTGTTAGGGGATCTGTAAACAAATTTTTTGACATTTGGCAGCCATTTTTATCTTATGTAGAAAAAACTTCGGCAGATAACTTTGTGTAAAGGTTAAATATTGTTTCATTGTACACAAACCTGTTAATTGTATCACTTGTATGAATACAAGATCGACTTTTGGTGTTTCAGTAGATCCGGTATAGGAGTAGGTGGGATGGATGGGATTTCGGGTGTTTGTGTTTTTGTTATTTTGTTTTTTTTGTTGTGGATTATGTTCAAAAATAATATAAAAGACATTGATCAAAAATGTTTTTATGGAAGTAGAAGTATCAAGCTTTTTACTCAAGTATAAAAGTAATGGTTTTAAAACTACTTAAAGTATAAAAGTAATGGTTTTAAAACTACTTAAAGTATAAAAGTAAAGGTAATGAATACATGAAAAAGCCATTAAAAGCTTAGGCTGTGGCACAGGGTTCTGTAGTGTACATTTTGAAATGGGAAAGAATGAGAAAGAATAGCTCTGATTTTCTTTCTAAAGTCAATAATGAGTATAATGTTTAATTAAAATGTTAAAATTGAAAAAATTGGAATTAACTGACTAGACTAGTTGTTTCAGCCACGATCATCTTCATTCTAGGCTACATCTGCTAGTATGTCCTGCTGGAATGTGATGTGATTTGTGTCACACAGGTGTGATGGAGTGAGTTCAGTCCAATAGGATGTCAGAATGGTATTTATTTACACTTCTCATCCAACCACAATCAAACTCACTATCCATGGGCTCCATGTATCTGGATAGATTTCTATTTTTTTCTGAACAATGGAAAGATGGAATAAAAACAAGTCAAAGTTAAATAGAAATGAAATACCTTTTTTTTGCATTTTTAAAAAAGTAAGGAGTAGAAAGTACAGCTAATTGAATTAAAATATAAGGATAAGTAAAAAGTAGGCTGAAAATTAATTACTCCACTAAAGTACAAATGACCAAAATGTCTACTTAAGTAAAGTAACAAAGTATTTGTACTTAGTTACTTGACACCTCTTGTCATATTCATACACAGTTTTGGCATCTTCAGGAAACTTCAGAACAATGCTGCATTGCCCACGTTAGCTTTAGCATGTGACAAAGTTTTACTGATGACTCAGATTTTAATTTTTTGTTGATTGCCTCCCCTTCACCCAGCCAGCTCCACCAGRTCACCACTCATCAGTCCCTCTCAGCAGGTCAGTCTGGTGTGGTTTAGCTAAAAATATCATATAATTATTCATTTTCACAATGACATTGATCTTTAATGATAATATCCCCAGCTATGCTGTTGAAGAAGAAGAATCTATAAGTTGAACTAAATTAACCACGTCAGTCTCACAGAACAAAATATAGTTCAGTAACCACCACTCAATCTATGCAATTATCAACTTTAAGAATATAAACTCTGCTGAATATTTTAAAAGCTGAACTCAACAGACCGTCCTGTTTAAACTCAACATTAGGCCTACTTGTCATGCTCACAACGAGCTAGCTGCAGCTGCTGTTATGCTAACTGCATAACTAACTAGTTAACACGATTAATCAACTAAAACTGACTACAACATATCACTGTGATACAGAAAAGTCAGACAACGCCGCACAATGGCAAAAAACGTATTTTCGACAACTTACCGGAGAAAATACCTCAAAAACACAAAGAATGAACTGCGCTCATGCTGCCTGCCTCTCGCTCTGTTTGTGACTTCCGCATTCCATTCATAGGATATGCTCGGGAACTTCCATATATATATATGGAAGTATATGGAAGTTCCCGAGCATATCCCATAATGCATTGCGGCCCGACTGGAGTTTTATGCTAGTAATGGCGGACGAAGTGAGAGAAAAGAATACGTTTTAAATAAAAAATATGGTGATATAAAAATTACAATTTTCTAGCAGTTGTAATTCTAATACTTTTATCATTTGTATAGACATGTTTTTAAGTATTATTTTTGTCATAAAAAACGTGAAATAAACATGAACCTACAGCGGGTCAATTAGTTCTTCAAATGTTACCTTTAAGTTAATTTTTT